GGGAAGAGATACACATAGCTATCATAGCCCATGTTGATAAACTTAAGAAAATGTAATATTGATGAGAGGAGAGCAGCTATATAACTATGGACCAAAGTTTGTTTAATTTGTCTAACTGACGAGATAAAGGGTAGATATTATTATTGAGCTTGGATTAACTATTCTAGGGGTGGGGAAGTGCAGGTTTATATTTAATGATCCTTCTTGATTGCTTTCAGGCAACACAGCAATTTATCCTCTAACTCTTTTCCTTCCCCTGTTGTCTCTATCACCAAACTTCACCGAATCCACACGGGTCTCATTAGGTTGGAATAGAATCTGTATGAACTGTATGCAATCGTGGAGTAGTTATACGGCACAGATTCACATACAACCATACATCTCTTGATCTCAAGTATATAGTAGCCCTGTCAACCAATGCGCTCCACCTTCACCGATCCCCTCTTCTTTTGTGGATTCTCACCCGCAATTTCCAACAGCCCATCTGTTTCCAGTTTCCGCGTCCATTTATGAGATTCCCCTCTGGAGAGAATAAGCGTCATGCGCGCAATGCTGAATTTCTCGGGTGTCAATGACGCACCATCTTCCGCGCTGTTATCGGTAGTGTTCCCTATCGATGCAGGTGAATGGGTATAGGTCCAACGACCGAAAGCCCAGTTCAGAATATAATTCTGCGTTTTAGCGTTGTTTTCTCCGGTCGCGGTTGCGGGAGTTCCATTTGCGCAGGCGCCTCCCGTTGACTCAGCTGTTGGTGCTGGTGTTGGAATAGGTGTAGGTGCACCCGCCGTCTGGCCTGACGAATCTTCTGGAGGGGCATCGGCTGGGAATTGAATAATGCCCTTTATCCTGTAGACTTCATCCTTGGGCGCAGACAGGAGAAGAGTAGCCAATGCCTCCTGGTTCACCGTATCGAACTGGCAAGTGCTCGTAAGAGAGATAGAGAGGACGTCTACTTCAGACTGGTGCTCGTTTTCCAGTGGCTTCCCAAGTCCATAGCTATGCTCTTGTATATAAGCCTCCTTCGCAACCGTGTCATCTGCCCCATTTAACAGCACGAGGTCCAAGGACGAATGTCCCCGATCAGATATCTCCTTCGCCAATAACGCTCCATCGATCCCGAGCAGCAAGTCTTTATCCACGACCCCCCTAGCAGATTTCACCCACGCCGTGTCCAGCTCCAGATCCGCCACACGGTCCAGACATGCATCAAACTGCTCCTCCGGTACATCTTCCCACTTATTGAAAATAACCAGATCCGTGTATTTCGCTTGCAACTTTGCCGTGTATGACGTGTCTTCGTATCCTTTCCAGTTCTCCACGTCAATAACACTGATGACACCGTCGAGCACGAATAGGCCGTTGTTCTCGCGGGAGACCCGATTCACTTCCATGGCCATCGTGGCGGGGAATGCACTGCCGCTCGTTTCTATAACGATGCGGTCTGGTTTTACCTCATCACGCAGTTGGAGAAGGGCATCGCCCAGTTGCCCTACCAGATTGCAACAGATGCATCCGTTAAGTAACTCGCGGATCCCCGAAATGGAATTTGCTGAGGCTATTTGGGAATCGATAGCTAGGTCACCGAACTCGTTTTTCAGAAGAGCCAGCCGGTAGTCAGGGGGCAATTGAGGGATTAGGTTAAGGAGGATGGTTGTCTTTCCAGCTCCGAGAAAACCGGTGATGATGGTTATGGGAATGGAATGATATGGCATTGTCGCGGGCGTGGCGTGGTTGTGATCGTAATGGTCGTGGGAAAGGAAGATGGAGGGGGAGGGGGGGGATAACTATGCTAATGGAGTATTTTGATGTTTTGTACACTCCACATTTGAATCGTTGAGATCATCGTTGTATAATGTATGTGTGTGTGTATTTATGTGCTGTGCACTACGCAATAGTTAGTCCAAGGCGCCTAGGCGAGTTGAAATCTTGAACATAGCTAGGAGAGGGTTCAGGCTGATTGATGGTGATGTCATTTGATGGGGCTTTGCCACAATCATGAACTCTGTTAACCGGTGCGTGGGTTAGCTTTTTCAGTTTGTTTAATACCTCTATATATGTTTGTATAACTATCCGAGTTCTATGTGATTGAATTCGGTTCATATACAGTTCTCCAATTGGTCTGCTCAGTAGAGAAATAGAGGAGAGACAGAGAGATAATCCAACGCAGTGATATATAGAAGAAATCTTTTCAAATTTGATATTTTCAATTTCTAGTTTGTCAATCCCAACCCCGCGGTTACTTCAACAACACCTGGCGCAGGTTCTCGCTCTGGTGTACACGTAGTCTCTATGCATGATGGTCGGGAACTCAGTTCCCCAGAAAATCCCACAAATCTGCTGCGATGGATTTCCTCAGCGCTCAAGCAGTTAGATAGGACCCTCCCTGAATACGAGCACAGCTGTGGGGGTAGTCGTATAACGAACTGGCGGTGGAACTCCATGATCGGCACCTGTCGTACGTTATTTCAAAGATCGCTACGGAAAAGCTAGTGTCATCCGAGCTCCTGAGTTTGGCATTTGTATGTCAGGTTCATGATGTTCGCCAGAGAGTCTCGATCTCGATCTGCTTAGCAAAATCCACCCTGGTGAAGACAGGTTCCAAGCTATAACTACCAGCTGTAATTGAATCGCCTCCTTAACTGGGACGTGGAATCACTGGATTAAGTCGTTTTGATTTCTCTTCTCCCCCTTTTATCCTTTCATTTGCCCCTTTCCTCAGAAGAAAATATCCATATGATATCTTCAGGAATATGGACTCGTGTCTCCTAAATCAATTGGGGTTAGGGTCTGTCGCTGCTAGAAGCCGGTCACGTCAAAGATGCATGGAAGGAAATAAAGCAGTATGTATGTGCAACCCCGTCCTGATCTATACATTTTCAAAGTCCTCATCCGATATGCTATGTACGCTGGAGGTATATATCACACCCAAATAGCGTAATTATTCTCTCTAGATGGGGATTGGGACCGGGTTTTTTTTTATTCTTATTATCCACCTCTCCCCTGTTTTCATTTCTTCCACTTATTTTTGTAACTCCGAAAGAGAGGGAAGGGCCGAAGGCTCACTCCTTTGTCGCTCTTTAAACACATAATTACCTCCTCCCAACCCCCTCCCCCGGACCCTCTCAATAAGTGCAAGAATCGCAACACCAGCCCCCTAGAGCAAATCAACTCAAACCCTCTCTCTCACCCAGTAAAGATTCAATATGCCCGCTGAGCCAGTATCTCCTCAAAACCTCCACAGGGACATTTTTAGCCCCGTCAACTGACCCGAGACATTTCTCTGCGCCACATGAGCACTTAAAGGGCTGTGCCATTTCCCATTCTGTGCTTGGGTAGAAGAATCGTAACTCTTCTCCGGCCGGAATATCTCGGATGCTCCATACCTCAATCGCACCGGCAACCTGTTTTTCCAACCCTCTGCTAGGTGTGGCTAGCGTTGACGTTACAAAACGGACATTGGGGTCGCAGGAGTGATTGCAGTATAGGAGATCTGAGTTCAGCCTGATATGATCTCTTGGCGAGATTTGGACAGTGGAGTAATCCTTTGCTGATGCGAGCGTGGTGGAGGTGTTCCTAGCGAGAAGAGTATTGGCTGGAATATCTTTTCTCGCAACGGCGGTGAGGTTGAATAAAGGCCCTGTCGAGGAACCCAAGTTCGAAGCGAGAACAGGTGATGATCGGATTGCTATGGTGTCGGGATGGGAAGGCTGCTTCCATGTCTTCTGTACGGGCTGAACCTCAGGGTTTACCTGGGCCTTTTCGTTTTGTGTTTCTGCAACTGTCATGATGGCTGCAGGAATGCTTTCAATGGAGAAAATGAGGTGCACTGGGGTTGGGTTGAACCAATATTTAGAAGATGCGAAATTTCTTTTTCTTTGTGGAAGACTTTGCTCTCCCTTTGAATGTAAAAAGCTTGGATTTGTTTGGTGTGTCACAGGCATGCACGGGTCTTCCACCTTTTTACAGGCCACTCTCTCTCTTGAGATTTTTCACTTGGCCGCTGGTTAACCGTTGTGTCATTCTCGGTCTAAACCTTCCCTGTGGAGGTCATTTCAATTCAACCCGAGGACCGGAAGAAAGCGTTTTAAGTTTCATGTTTCTTTAAGATATTGGCATTATTTCATATTGCCAGCAAACCCCTGTTAGTTTTGCTCAGGGTGAACTCCGGGTGGAGGGAGCCAGTCAAAAGGATCGGTCCTGAAAGTTTAGATCGAACCAATCTAAACAGTTTTCACACGGCGTCCCCAAATGGATTTGAGTTATCATTTCTTCACTTCCCTGGTAACTAGCTATGTAAATATTCATTTTGTTTCCTTTGCTGATAATAGAGAATGTAGGAAGGGCTCACCTGCAACTGTTATATCCAATTCAATCACGGCCCTGGTGGGGCTGCGTTGGAGGGGAAAGATGTTGGGCCGGATGCAACGGGATTGAAACGTCCAAAAGATAATCACGTTATGGGAGTGGACGGGATAAAGTAGCCATTTAATTGGTTTGAGTGATGCACTTGCGGATTCGCTTCGCCATCCCTGAACCTTTTTATTTTCATTTTCTAATATCAAATGTCAGATATCCCGGTTCGGGTTTTCGCTCCCTGTTCGTGTGGTCCTGAAATGACGTCATAGGAACATTTGAATGGAAGCCGAGGTTTCTCGAGAATGTTCACGGGAGTGCAGCAACAACCTCGCTAGAGCTACGGGGGAAAACTAACGATGTCACAGAGAGAGAGAGAGGGAGAGATAATAAACGACTAGAATAAACCACAAAACCGATTAAAAGTCGCCTTTTACTCAATCTGTCACCTGTAAGTATATTTGTGCATACATGCCATGCCGTCTTTGATAACGATATATTCGTCAAACCATCATGGAAAAATAATAGGGAACGAGACACTCCGTGACGAAAACATAAAACGGATTGAGCCATATAGCACTGTCAAGTTGAATAGAACAGAAATAGACAGGTAGAAACCAACAGCTGAGATTAGGAAGATTTTCTGTTTATGGGAGTGCTGTTGCATGCGATGTTGAAATCTCATCGAAAACGAGTTGGGCTATTCCTTCACCGGGGTTTTCAGATTGATATTGCTCTTGGATCAACGTCAGTAGTCGAGCGGTCCACTGAGCAATCTCCGTTGGTTGCACCTCCAAAAATGCAGAGGATGGAGGAACAAGTCCTGTTCGGATATATTCGTCTGTTTCTGACAATGCTTTCGGAGGTATTGACATCTCGTTATCTGCACTTGTCCAAGTCACGATGAATCCGTCAAGCCTATACGCCTCTGGTGTCGTGTCCAATGGAAATTGATTTGTCAATAGCCGCTTCCATTTTAAGCCTGTCGATATGGCTGCATTTTGCGGGACGATATTCCTAATGCGCTTATAATACGTCCTTGGGTGTTGCTCTGTCTTACAAAGTGAAAAGGCTGTTTCATGTCTGAGCAAATCAGGCTCTTGCTGGGCTAGATCGGCATTTGCTCGAAGATATCGATTTTGATATGGAGAACTCTGTGATGTCTGAGTGCGACTAACTCCATTTGATGAGAAGAAGGCCGTCTGAGAAGAAACCTGCTGCCGCTCCATTATTCTTTGAGCCTGTATGGCAGCCCTCTTCCGGTATTCAAAATCCAGTGCGTCAGCAACCATCTCTTGCGACGCAGAGCTTAGGTGTCTACTTGCTGGTTCACAAATTCGCCCGTTCTGGTTGTTATCAAGTTTAGAGCAAGTCACAGGTGCGATATCATCGATATGCATTTCGATGAGAGTACTCTCCCTATCGACGTCGGAGGCATTTGGCGATGCACGTGGCGGTGGTCCTTGTGAATAAATCTTTTGGTTGTAACTTCTGGGACCATCACTGCTCTCTTCCCCAAACCGGCCGGCAATAACAAGTTCTATAAGTCCATCCTCACCAACTTCACCGTCCTGCAAGATTCCACTTTGTTGGTTTTCTTGGGTGGGCTGGATTTTGGGATCTCGAAAATTTCTTAACCAGGCATCTAGGCAGCCTAACCCTCCTAACTCTCTATTTTGAATTGTCCCTTTGGAAGGGCTTTTTTGAGTTAGATTGCCTAGTTCGCTCATGTGCGATTTTCTGACATGGTCCAGAGACTTATCGTATTTTATGAATTTCGTGTCTGGTACTTGCACAGACAAGGGGTTCGGGTAGGATTGGTTACCTTGAATAGAATTCCTTCTACCTCTGTTTATCAAACCGGTGTCTGGCGGAAATCGGTCATCCTCGCATATAGGTGTAAGGAGATGAGAATTTGCGGCATAAGACTGTAAATTTTCCCTAGGAAGCGTGATACAACGGCTTCTGGTCAGCATCCACGGATTGGCCTGATGAGAATTCTTTGCAACGTGGGAATTATTTTCGTTTGGTCGCGAGAAGGTGACGGTATCAGTAGAACTTCCTAGCGATGTATTGACCGTATTCCTTTGCAATGGGTTTGCAAACGAGCGATCTACAGAATGGTCGTTTTCCATTGCATTCCTCAAAATATGTCGTCGAAAGAACGGCATCTCCTTGGCTTTAGTTGTCTGAAAGTTGTTTGCCAATGGACGATCAAAGATATATCCCGCCTGGCAAGATAAGGCTCGGCTATCAGGAGCTTTGATGTTCTCAGGTGTATCCTCCGATATAATTTCGCCATAAACACTTTTGAATAGGTCCTCTGCCAGGGACATAACCAGTTTTGAAGCTGCAAAAAGCACATCGTCCTTGGATGGCTCCACATTGGCGTCATAGCTACCAAGTGGGTACTGTAGGTGAATAAAAAGGAATGGATCCACGGGTGATGTCAAATCCATATTGCAAAGTGATCCTGAACGAAGGTAGCATTTGAAAAGCTTTACGATCTCTTTCGCAATGCCGTGGGACGTTGACATGGGCCTTCTGTCAATGGAAACAAATTGACCAGCACGGGTGAGTTTTGAGCAGTCTATTTAATTAGCCAACGTAATCTCAAGTCAACAAATCCGTATTTCACTCACCAGCATCAGGTCCTGGGACTACAGCAACTAGCCGGATCGATAAAGGATTAGTTTCACTATCATCTTTATGCCCCGATGACGAGTTGGCTTCGCCGTCTTGGGACTCTGGCCATGCTACTATAATGCATTGCGAAATGACTTCTGGGCCAACAGCGGCCACCACTGCACCAGAAATGGTTTTCTTCGGTGCATAGATCCAGGGGGATTGATTCTTGCCCCCTAAAACTTGAAGTGAAAGCCGGATCTCAGGGCGGGAGAGTGCATATGCAATCAACATTTTCTTTAATCGGGAAATTGTTTTCGACGCACACTTCAAAGCAGTCTGTTTCCGAACTGGAACAAATTTCAAGAACTCAGACACGCGAACAGTAGTTCCCGTTGGGTGGGAGGATTTGGTGCAACTTGATACTTAAGTCAGAAACTTCTCGTCACAACGTCTGGAATATCTTCTTTCGGAACCAACCATACCTGATAAGAAGTCCGGCACGATCATACCTCAAAGCAGTGCCAACTAATTCCTCATCCGTCTTTGTTGTTACGAGAATTCCGCCGCACATCTCAGCGACACTCGCAAGTGCCTCCCCACGAAACCCTAGCGTGCTCCCACCCACATTTCTCAAATCATCAACGGTTCGAAGCTTGCTAGTACAGCTGCGTTTGCACACTAGCTGGCGATCGTTAGGATGGATACCAGTACCATTGTCCCTGACCTGAATGATACCAACGGTATTGGCTGACAGCTCAACTGAGATAGATGTAGCTCTAGCGTCAAGTCCGTTATCGACAAGCTCTTTAACGACAGAGTATGGACCAGAAAGCACCTGGGCTGATCTAACCGCCCTAGCAGTGTCCTGATGCAGAGCCGAAATAACCATCATTCATGCTCAAGAAAAGTTCACAGGGATTCATGGGCTGGACCCAATGTTTAACGTGATCAGTAAAGTGCAGGGAAGCATTGTATATTTGACTCTATACAACAAACCTCCCTGTAGCTAGGGCATAGGTTCCCCATGGTTTACTGTCAGTTGACGTCAAGAAGGTTGAAATAGGATTGCCGTACTACATCTGGCTCCGGGGGCTCTCCCCTGGCTACATAGTCATGGTCATGGAAGATTAACATGGAGGATTGTTAACATGGTTGTTGAACTATATGTATGTAACTAGTTATAGGGAGGCACGTGATTATGGTAGCCGTAGTTATCTCGAGGCCAGTTGATCTCCTGGAACTATTGAAGGAAGAGCTAGTTGATAAGGTAACTAATAATCTATTCGCCTGATGACGTGCGGGCGGCCTCCTGGCAGCAACGGCTAATCCATGTACGGCCCAACATATCCTTAGGTTTTAGCTCCCCCTGGCAATAATATGGGATTAAAACAACCCATTCTACACAACGTAACTAAGACTCACGTCCTTCCTTTAATTGATGAACATGGCTCCACGTGAAGCAAAACACTGCAAAGAGGGGAGAGGGGGGGGGGGGGGGGGGGG